CAAAAAGGGAAAACAAAACTAGTATCCACACAGGAAATGTTCAATATACATACTAGTCCCAAATAAATAAAATGGAAAAGATTGCAGTACCTGTTAGGAGCATTGTATTATTTTCCCATGCAAGCGAAGTGATATTCAAGGTTTTGCAAGACTTTCACAATATATGCTGCTAAAAATGTCAGATGTCCAGGCTGGATTCAGAAAAGGATCATATGGCAAATACTGTATAGGTTGGCCTAGAGCACAGTAAAGAATTTCAGAAGAATATCAGTTTGTCTTTTGTAGATTACAGCAAGACCTTTGACTGTGCGAATCATGAAAAACTCTGGATCATGCAAAAAAAGTGTTCTACGACATTTGATTGTCCCATTGTACAAATCTGTCAGTGTTCCTGAGTGGAGAAGAAGAGAGGACCTGTGTGTCATCTTCCATCATTTAGCAGGGTAAGGAAGTGGGTGGACCAGGGGAACCTTTGCTGTGGTGTCCTTTCACTTCCCCTGCAGGTCTTGATGGCAACCTCACTGGGTTGAAGGTGCTGTTGCTAAATGCCCTGTCAGTGAAAAGTAAGACAGCTAAAATCCAGGATTTGACTCTGGATAAACATGCTGGCCTGGAGACCTGGTTGCATGACATTGAAGGAGTTAGTCTTTCTCAGCTTTGTCCACTTGGATTCTCTGAGAGGCAGCAGGCCAGCCCTGGGGGACAGGGAAGCAGGAGTCGTAATAGTCTATCGAGACACCTTTACCAGGTGCCCTGTCCTGTGGACTGCAGGCTGAGTGCATGGTACCTGAGAGTGGGTATCAGATGTACCAACAGGGATTCTGTTGGTACACTGCCCATCCAGCAGCACAACAGCCTCCCTGCCTGAGCTGGTCTCAGGTGTGGTGCTGCTGTCACCCCAGCTTGTGTTGGGGGACATCGACATCTATTTTTAGAGGTTTTTGAAGAAATGGTTCCTGGTATAAAGGCAAGAAGGAAAATTGGACAAGTGAGGGTGGAGAAGCTAGAAGAACAACATTTATTTATTTTATTTACTTATTTGAGTTTTCATCCTGTCTTTCTCCCTTGATGTGGAAATAAAGAAGTATGCTCTAAAATTAAATATTTTTAAACATTATTTAATAACTATAATTTGAAAATGGAATAAATAAATCTCAGTTGCCTGCTGGCTCTCCAAAAGTCTTTCTAAAGAGGCGTGATTTCAACTGCCACCAGAAAGGCAAGAAGGGAAGGGGCCACTCACATCTCCTAAGGGAGGTTGCTCTGTAATCTGAAGGCAACCACAGAAAAAGCCCTCTCAGGTCCTCACCATATGTGCTTGTGAGTGTGGCAAGACCAACAGAAGGCAATCCCCTGAGGATCTTAATACACACGAGGGCTCATAATTAGGAGATGCAGCCCTTCATAGAATAGAATCATAGAATTGTCATAGGATTGGAAGGGACCTTGGAGTTCTTCTGGTCCAAACCCCTGCCCAAGACAGGAGACCTTATACCATCCTGGATAGATGGCTGTCCAATCTTTTCTTGAAAACCTCCAGCGATGGGGCACCCACAACATCGGGAGGCAAGCTGTTCCACTGCTTAGTGGTTCTCACTGTTGGGAAATTCCTCCTATTTCTAGTTCGGATCTCCCTCTGACGACTTTCCACCCAGTGTCTCTTATCCTACTCTCAGGCGCAATGGAGAATAAATCATCGTCCTCTTCCCTGTGGCAGCCCTTCAGTTATTGGAAGACTTCTATCATGTCTTCCCTCAGTCTTATCTTCGTTAAGTTCTTCATAGGATTTAGCCTCCGGTCCCCTTAGCATCTTTGTTACTCTTCTCTGCACCCCCTTCCAGGGCCTTAGTGGCTTTTTTGTATTGTGACCAGAACTGGACACAGCATTCCAAGTGCAGCCTCACCAGTGTGGTATAGAGCGGTACTATCACTTCCTGTGATCTTGATGCTATCCCCGGAGCTATTTTGTAAAGGGCTTTAAAGCTCATGACCAGCAAAAGTGACAGGAAGGATTTACAGTATTAGGATACAAGCACAAAGTGATGGGAGGGGCAGGGCCTTGAAGGTCTTTAAACAGAGATCGGCACGAATCTCGTATTGAATGTCCGGCACATATCTAGCTTTAAAGGGAAGGATAAAATTTGTAAGGAACCTGAGAGTGAAGAATAAAGCAGTGGAAGGAGTTGTGTCACATGCTCAGAATAGTAGGAGGTGAATAACTTTAGCAGCAACCCCTCACAATGGTGAAATGGAAAATCAGGAAGAAGCAACTCTACTTGATTCTGCCATTATATTAATGTCATGATCATCCTTAGAAGCTTCCGCTCCTGCCTGTCAAACAGGAGAGGAGGAGGAAGCCTCACTTTTTCCCAACAGTTCATGTCAAGTTTCCCACTACAAGGACAAAGTCCTTCCACTACAATGTCCAAAAATGAAGGTATAAGTCTCTGATACAAGTCCCTTATGGCAATGTCCAAAAATGAAGGTATAAGTCTCTTATGAAAGGGAATGGTATAAATGTGCCTCTAAATTGTATAGCAACTCTTACACTGTATCCATTTAGATACACATTACTGTACAGACTATGCAAATTATGAGTTTGTTTCACTTATAATCAGCCTTCCTCCACCTAAGATGGCTCATAGATAGAAATAAAAACAGTGGCACCAAGCCTTGGAAGGGAGGGAGGGTGGATGGGAGAAAACAATTTTTGTACTTCTGTCTGTGTTTTGTGCTGTTAAGTTGGAATCAACAGACAGTGGGGAGTTGGACCCTGTTCTCCAGAGTCCTAGTCTGTCATTCTATCCACTATACCACACTGGTGCCATTGTTTTTGTTTTTATTTGTAATGCAGATGACACCATCTTACTGGCAGAAAGCAGCAATGATTTGAAATGAATCTCAGGGAAAGTGAAGGAATAGAGTCCCAGAGTAGAACTTCAGCTAGACATTAAGAAGACAAAAGAAGAACTACACAACTTTTACATTCACAATGAAGAAATTAAAATAGAGGTTTTATATCCCTCAATGCAGTCCTCAATACAAATAGGGACTGCAGCCAAGAAATCAGAAGACTGAGATTCGGAAGAGCAGCAATGAAGGAATTTAAAAAGATTAAGTGTAAGGATAGGGCCTTGCTTTGGTCCATGGGGTCATGAAGAGTCTGACACAATGACTAAACAACCACAAAAATGTGTAAGGATATGTGACTGGAGACCAAGATCATCCACACACTCTTGTATTTCTGATCACCATGTATGGGTGTGAGAGCCAGACAGTTAAGAAAGCTGAAAGGAAAAAAAAGTTCATTAAAAGCACCAAACAATACCTGTCCTAACATTACATCTGAAAAGTCTGTGATCTTTGTAGACCACAGACTAAGGATGAGTCAACAGTGTGTTGTTGTTTAGTTGTTAAGTCGTCTCCGACTCTTCATGACGCCATGGATCAGAGCACGCCAGGCCCTCCTGTCTTCCACTGCCTCCCAAAGTTGGGTCAAATTCATGTTGATAGCTTCGATGACACTGTCCAACCATCTTGTCCTCTGTCGTCCCCTTTTCCTCTTGCCTTCACACTGTCCCAACATCAGGGTCTTTTCCAGGGAGTCCTCTCTTCTCATGAGATGGCCAAAGTATTAGAGCCTCAGCTTCAGGATCTGTCCTTCCAGTGAGCACTCAGGGTTGATTTCCTTCGAAATGGATAGGTTTGTTCTCCTTGCAGTTCAGAGGACTCTCCAGAGTTTCTTCCAGCACCACAACTCAAAAGCATTACTTCTTCCGCGGTCAGCTTTCTTTATGGTCGAGCTCTCACTTCCATCCATCTGAAATACAGTCCTGTAATTATGTGCTTCTCCAGAAGGCATTGCCTTCTATAATTTCTTTATGGTCCAGATCTCACTTCCATCCATCTGAAATCCAGCCCTGTAATTATGTGCTTCTCCAGAAGGCACTGCCTTCTATACTCCTATAGCAAGGAACAGCCATTTGTTTTCTCTAGCACAGGGATAAGTCCTCGTATTGCGTTTGCTATCACCACCATATTTTCCACTCTGGTGCAGTGAACAGAGTGAGGGACTAGGACTCTGAGTAACAGGGCTTGAATCCAAGTGAACAGAGTGAGGGACTAGGACTCTGAGTAACAGAACTTGAATCCCCCATTCAGCCATGGAAATTCACAGTTGGAGCGCACTGGTAAAACCACTCCTTAAATATTTATTCCCGTGAAAGCCCTATTAGAGTCGCTGTAAGTCGATTCCCACTTGAGGGCACAGAACCCGCACCCGCACACATCACCACTGTGCAGTTGTGCGCCAGAGTGAGGGACTAGGACTCTGAGTAACAGAACTTGAATCCCCCATTCAGCCATGGAAATTCACAGTTGGAGCGCACTGGTAAAACCACTCCTTAAATATTTATTCCCGTGAAAGCCCTATTAGAGTCGCTGTAAGTCGATTCCCACTTGAGGGCACAGAACCCGCACCCGCACACATCACCACTGTGCAGTTGTGCGCCATGTACTGATCTACAGGCATCGTAAATACCCATGCTGCACAGAAGAAATATTACGAATACAAATGCCCTGCCCTTTCTTCTTTTTTGCCTGGAAAACGCCCAATCCCGTCCCCTTTGAATCCCGAGTGAAGTAGCACAGCAAACTTTACGGACGATGGAAAAGAAATCCTCTCCGTACAATTTACTGAGTCAGCCCATCTATTGCAAATCTAGTTTCGTGTTCTGTACCACAGCAGTATATACCCTGCCCCTTTTTAGTTTTGAATTCGTAATACGCAATTATTTCAGGACTTGAAAGGAGTGCATTTCGCAACGGCGATCTCTGTCTATTCCACAGCACATTTCTCCGCCCCCCCCCCAATCCACGGGCGAGTCCTCCTACAGCCGCAAATCCAACACAGCCTATCAACTGTCAAGTTATCAAAAAAAGGCAACCGGGGGGGGGGCGGGGAATGCTTTGATCACGTGAAGGGAACGGGCTAGGAAAGGCAGTTCCCTGAGAGACGTGCGCTGCCATCTTGAGCGCCGGCTGTTTCTGGGTGTCGCCATCTTGTCTTTCCGTCAGCGTGGGGGGCGCCATCTTGTGCCCTCTTGATGAATGAACGGCGCCGTGAAGGAGTGAGTGCATCCGGTTTGGTCGGCTGCCTCCCCTCTCCCCGTGGCTGACCATGGAGACCCGCCGCCTCGTGTGCCTTCTCCTTCTCGCCCTCCTGGGGAGCGCCCTGGCGGCCCCAGAGCTGGTTAATGAAGACGTCAAGCGAACGGTGGACCTCAGCACCCACCTGGCCAAAGTGACGACCGAGCTGACTCTGGCCAATCCTCCGGGCGGCTCTGGTTCCACCACGTCCTTCCTTCTGGCTTTGGAGCCCGGCCTGGAGAGCCACCTGGCCTACCTGGGGGTGCAGGTAAGGAGCTGGTCACACTCCAAGGCCCTGGCTTGCTTCCCGAGGCCCTCGTGGCAGCCCGCAACCCTGATCGGGAGGAGGGTGCCTCCTTCGGGCGCTTCCCGCGGTTTCTTGCCTGTTGCTTCTCCTGAGAGCTGCAAGCGACACTCTTTGAACCCTCCTCTTGTGCCTTGCTTAATGCCTCTCTGGGGCTGAGGCCCTCGCGCCTCTTCCTCTTCCTCCACTTCTCGCACTTTTATTGGGGCATGGCGTTTTCTTTTCCCCAAGTTATTTTCATGTTGAACACTGCGTCCCAGATTTTGTTTCTTTTCCAGATTCGAGTAGTAAACCCCCCCCCCCCTTGTTACTGAGGGTTATCGTTTGAGTAGGGATTATTGGAAAGCTTCCCCCCCCCCGCGCGCAACTCCCTCCGCCGTGCCTTGGATCCTTGACATCGTTTCTGACTGTAGTGGTTGTGATCTATTGGACTCGGTTGTTAGATCTAAATGAGGAGGGTGCGCTTCTAATCTGAAGCTTCTGGGTGCAGCTGCAGCAGCGCTTGCCACCCATTTCTCTCTCTCTTCTTGACCGTTAATCTCCTTCCCTCAGTTTTGTGCGTGTAGTAACAGCCTGACAAATACTGACACGTAAGCATAAAGTGCTTCAGTCAGAGAGAGCAACCGGTAGGACCCGAGAGGAAAGGAGGCGTGGATCCCAAGGCAGCCCCTGTGGAGCAGGACGGGCATGCCTCGTTGCAAGGCCTGTGACTGGTTGCAAATGGCAGGATCATGTCATAAAAAAAAAGTTTAAGTGGCTTTTAAGTGTTCATTACTGTCTGTGTTTCCTGGCCAAGGAGTTCTGGATAATGTGGTGTTTTAATTCCTTCCAGCAATTTGTTTCATTTTTAGTGGTCCAATAAAAGGTATCACCCACTCTTGCATTTGTGTAACCTTGGGGACTATATGGCCTTCTCTTTGTGCTTGGTGGTTTTAGGGTGTTAGATTGCCTTTACAAGGGGTATACTTTTATGACTTCTGACATGATGGTTCATTCTTAATACAGTACTGCGTTTATGGATGCTTCATCCTGAATAGCTGCAAATACTATATTAGAAGGTAAACTATTGTCAGAAAATGAGTGCACTCAGATATTTGCAAATTATCTGCTTTGCAAGATTGCTTGCTCTTAAGTAATGAAGGAGCATCAGGGAAGCCTAGGGAAGCCAGGTCAGCTGGTTATTGCAGCAAAGCAACAGCAAAATTATGCCAGCAAAATTCATCCAGTTGATGTCTAGTCAACAAGCTGCTTCAAAAGATTGCCATTAGGGCAAGCTTTGGAAATGAGCCCAGACTCCATTACCTACATTTCTCCCCCACCGCTTATTGTGGACCTGGCATACAGGCAAGCTCCCAGAACTTCATATGCTTGCTTGTGGTCAGTAATATCCCTGCATCCCACTCCAGTTTGTTAAGCTGTTGTGCAATTCTGACTAAAGTCTTGCTTGAAGGGTAAGGTGAAGGATGAAAGGAGAGGTGTTCTCTCTCCTGCAAGATGGCTTTTATAGAAAGCACCAGCAGTGACTTTTGCTGTTTTCCATGTAAAGTTCTGGTGAAAGGGAAAAAAACTACCTGTTCTTTCCTCCACGGAGAACTTGATAGAAGAAGGAAGGATTTTTCCCACTCAGATTTTATGACAGCCAGTTGTGAAGTGCTTTTTGCACTTTTTGGAAAAACCAACACAGGCATACATGCCTCCATTCTCCCAAATTCTTTTCATACACTACACTGCAGGATGAGAGCAGTAGATTTTATGACAGCCAGTTGTGAAGTGCTCTTTGCACTTTTTGTAGAAACCAACACAGGGCAGACCTGCCTCCATTCTCCTAAATTCTTTTCATACACTACAGTACAGGATGAGAGTAGCGGGTGGCAAATATGTGTTTTGCTTGTAACCTAAGGGAAAAGAATTGTGCATGCTGTGTAAGAATGTCAGAGGTTTCATATATTTTTGTCACTTGCTGATATATAACACAGAATGTCCTAAAATCTTTGCTGCTGTGGTCTTGGTAGGTAGGGAACAGGGATTATTTCTTACTTTTGACAATTTAGCTCATCTTAAATCGGAAAAAAGTAACACTGACTAGACTATTGTTTACTGGAACAGGTAAAAAGCGAGGAAGAGGAGGACAATACTTTGGAAGTGAAAGATGCAAAAGGAAAGGGAATAAGGTAAGTGTTGCCATGGGAAATGAAGATTTATTTCATGGCCAGATTTGCTCTCTAATCTCTACTCACCAAGCAGCTGCACTTTGTCCTAATGAACGTGTCTCTCTGATGCATCTTTTGACTGCAAGTACACTTTACATTGTTGGGCATGTGCTTTAAAAATGAAATTTGTGAGCTGGTTCTTTACTGGGGGTCAGAGGGTTGTTAATTTTGCCCAGCTTCATGCATATGAAGACTGATACTTCAGTTGCTGTTTTCATTATTAGTGTCTATTTTGGCTCTTAGAGTTCTTTTTAAAAAATAAAACCAAGTTTGTAAATTGAAGTGAAATTGTCACCTGAAACTGAATCACAGTAATTCATCTACCTGTACAATCATTGTCTACTATTTAAAAGTCAACCTTTTCTAATAGAAACAGAAAATAATTGTTTCTAAGAATTATTGTATTGGCTTTTAAATATTTGTGTGGTATTAAGTCATATGAATGAACTGTGTTCATTACAGATCTGGAACTCTTTAAAATAACAAGAGTATCTCAGAGGCCAAACATATACTGTTGATAGCAGTAGGCCCTTTGAATTAACTTAGGCTTCATTGGCCAAAATCCTGTTGCTGAGTGTAGTAAATTGCATTAGAGTATGTCCATTGAATCAAAGAGGATTTAATAAGTGAACTCCTCTGTAAGTCTGGTTGATTCAAATAGGCCTACTCTAACTAACTTATGTTAAAGTATGTTGCTATTAGAGTAGGCCTATTTGGATTAATAAAAATAGTGGAGTCAATTCACTAAATCCTTGCTGATTCCGTGGGATTACTCTCATACAATTTATTAGTCTGAGCAACAGGATTTTGCCCATTGTCTGAAGTTGTAATGCAGAAGGTGGTTTGGGGCATCCATAATAGCACGTTCAAAACTTCACTGAGGAAGAGCAATGGGAAAGAATATCCTACTTAGTGTGGATTTTTGTGGAACTTCTAGCCATGCTTATGTTTTCCAAGCCAATGGAATCTAACTGATTTTCTCTTCTTTTCTGTTACAGTGGCAAATTCTTCACTGTGAAATTGCCATCTCCTTTGGCTCCAGGTGCAAAGATTCGCTTATCTATTGAAATGGTTTTTACTCATGTCCTACAACCATACCCTACGCACATAACCCAGGCAGAAAAACAGTTTGTTGTTTTTGAAGGTAATCATTACTTTTACTCTCCTTATGCAACAAAGACCCAAACTACTCGGGTGAAATTGGCCGCAAGAAATGTGGAAAGCTACACCAAACTAGGCAATCCCAGCCGGTCAGAGGACATGATTGAATATGGACCCTTCAAGGATGTACCGCCATACAGTGAGGTAAGCACTTGAACTTTGGAGTTAATTTTAAGTTATAGAAAATGAACAGTAGCTAAAGGTCATCTGTTATTCACGTAGAATTGAAATTCATACATGCTGTACTGCTTTCTGTGATATAAACACAAATTAGTTTTTAACAGAAATATAAGGAATTTAAAACTAAAGCACTTTAACATCTCAACTGATCAGTGAGTAAATCCAAGAGTGCTTATGCAGGCAAATTAATATCCTGATGGAGAGGGGATGGAGTGTTTAACCTCCTGACAGTCTGCTTGATAAAAAGCAGAGTTAGGGTTTTTTTTCCCCTTTTTCATAGACAGATACATGCTTCTCTGCAGCTAGTATGTGATCTAACTTCTTAGCAGGCTAGCAAAACAACAGCAGTTGTTGCATTTTAATGAATTTAGTGTCCTTTGACTAAGCTTTCCAATGAGCCAACAAACCAGTCCTTCACTTTTTCAAAACAGATAAGACTGTCTGGGGTGACTAATGTAAAATTATTAGCTTGGACATTCAGAACTTAGATCAGTTGTTCCCAACCTTGGGTCCCCAAATATAGTGGTGCCTCGATTTATGAACTTAATTGGTTCCGGAACACCAGTCGTAACTCGAAATGGTCTTAAGTCGAAGCACAATTTCCCATAGGAATGTATTGAAATGAAATTAATCCATTCCGGCTGAAGAAAAAATCACACGCACAAACACTCTGCAAGACCCATCGGAAACGCGATTTATCTGTTCTGGCCAAAGGGGGGAAAAGCAAACTGTGCAAGGCCCTTCAGAAATGCCAAAAAAAAAAAAAAAAAAAAGCAAACCAAAAAGCAAACAACCCATGCAAGACCCATCGGAAACGCAATTAATATGTCCTGGCTTAGGGGGGGAGAAAAGCAAACAAACCGTGCTTTGGAAATGCAAAAAAAGCAAAGAGCAAACAAACCCTGCCAAGGCCCATTGGAAATGGGAAAAACATAAAAAAGCAAACAAACCCCTTAAGACCCATAGGAAACGAGAAAAACTCCCAAAAAAGACCTGTCACAGCACAGAAACATAACCCCTCCCCCCCCTGCAGCCTCTGAAGCCACCTCTGATCACACACTCTCTAACTACTGGGGTGAAAGAGCTACAAAGAAGCAGCTTCTTTGCCACCAATGGTTAGCAATTTGAATTCCCACCCTTTCCCCCTGCCTTTTTTTGTTCATAACTCGAAGCTCTGGTCCCAAGTAGAAGCAAAATTTTGCTGCCGGAGCTGGTTGTAACTCGAAATGGTCATATGTCTGGACATTCGTAAGTCGCACAACTATATTCTTGGATTAAAACTTGCAGAAGCTTTCATCACTAGCTGTGCTGGCCAGGATTTCAGGGAGTTGTAGTCCAAGAATATCTGGGGCCCCAAGGTTGGAATTGCTGGCTTAGATGTTTTGAGTGGAACATTCATACTGAAAACTTGTACACCTCTAACTTCCAGATGCTTGGGACAAATAGGCCTCAAATATTGGGATTTATGAAACATTCTTTTCGCAGTGGTGATGCCTTGTCTCCTGCCTTCTCTGTGTTTAAGACCATGGATTTTAAAATTAAAATTATTCATATCAAGAACCTAAAGCTAGCTTTCTTTTTAGATCATTTACACAGTGCATTATTTTCATGGGGAAAACATTTGTATGTGTATTAAGAGTCCTTACTCAGGATTTAAGATGTTTTAAAAAAATATATTAGGGTGCCTCTACCTGATTTTATATACCGTATTTGCCGGCATACAAGACGACTATTTTGGCCAAGAAACATGCCTCCAAGTGGGGGGGGGGTCATCTTGTACGCCGGGTGCACGTCCAGCAAACTTTCCCTCTCTCCCAGAGAAGTCACTTGCCTGGTAGTAAGACTGAGTAGAGCCCCGCTCCTAGACTGAGAACAGCCTGACTCTAGCGCTGAACAGCTGACTATCAGGAACAGCAGAGAGGAGGCAGCCAGCCATGAACTTCCAGGGCGGGCCCGGGCAACCGCCGCCGGTGCCGCAGCAGAGCCATCCACTCTATATTTTGAGTGGAAAGGTTGGGGTCATCTTATTCAGCCAGTCGCCTTGTATGCCGGCAAATATGGGTAGTTACATTCTAAGCCCAGTCGCTTTGTACGCCGGCAAATACGGTAGTTACATTCTAAGCAGTGTAAATTCTCAGCAATAAATATCCCATGTGGATGCTGGAGGAATCTTGGTCTACACTAAGAAAAGGAGGGTGGGATAACACAGGAGAAATGCAAACTATTTTTTTTCTTATGCATGTTTTTGGTATGCAAAAAAAGTGGGTAAGTGTTATTTTTCTCAGTGTAGAAGAGTTTTCAAATGGAAACTGGATATTGTGTTGACATTCAAGAAGGATGTATCATGCTCTGTCCTTGGAGGTTAAATGGTGAAACGGATTTTTTGACTTTTGGGCATGAAGTGAGTAGTTGCATGCTGAAATTAGCATTAATCTCTAGAATGAAGAAACGGTGTGACTTGTTAGTAGAATGTACTGTAGATGAAATAGGGGTTTCCTGCTCCCTAGAAATAAGTAAGGGAAATATTTGAAATAATTCAATTTCTTCACTGTATTTTTTCCTTCTCAGGATATTCTTAAAGTGCACTATGAAAATAATAACCCATTCCTAACTATCACCAGCATGACACGTGTCATTGAAGTTTCTCACTGGGGGAATATTGCAGTAGAAGAGACTGTTGACTTAAAGCATACAGGAGCCGTCCTCAAAGGGCCTTTCTCCAGATATGACTACCAAAGGCAACCAGATAGTGGAATATCGTCTGTGAAATCTTTTAAGGTCAGCCTTTTTTGTCTTCTCTGTAATAAAGTAACCTGGTTTTGTTGTTCCAATTTCTTTTAGATATTTCGGAGAGTTAGGGAGCATAGCTACTTGGCTGCTTTGCAATTGTCAGGGACTTTCTTCCCCCGAGCTATCTGCATGAATGCTTCTTCCACATTGCTTCCTGTTGCTCATATGGAAGGTAATGACTTAAATAAGGACCTTGCCTTCTCTTTCTAGCAGAAAGTGTTTCAGGAGGAGAGGCCTGCCAGTCAGAAATTTTAGTAATTCTGTAAGTTAGGTATCTTTAAATAACGCAATCTCATTAGTACTCATTATTGTGTTTGCTGCTCAATTTATACAGCCAGTGCATAGGAGCTCTTATTTTTTGATATTTAATTAGTTTTGCAAAATCTGAAGCCAAAATCTTAAGACTTACTGCCTGGCCCTCAGTATGTTTACTTGCAAGTAAAGCACAATGAGTTCAAGTGTGCTTAGAACTGCACTCTTCATAGCATCTTCAAATGAGGAGAAAGGTGAAGGCAAGGGTAAATAATGAATTATTAGTATACTGATGGCATGCATCTTCAAACCTGAAGGAGCAGTCCCCTCATTGTCACAGTTGCCATTGTGCTGAGCAGTAGGCTTGACAAAGAGATTGGTTTAAATCTCTTCTTTCATGGTATTGCCTCCCTTCCTCATTTGCTGTTGTTCAGCTGATAGAAGCATTAGTACTCTTTTGAGGGCTACTTCTCCAGGCTCCTTGTGGTGGGAGCTCCTGATGGAAATGGTGTGGAAAGTCTTCAAGAAACAGTGTTTCATATGCTTCAGTTGTCCTGAGGTGAGGGGGTGACTCCCAACAGTTTTCTACTTTCATATTTTACTGATAGGGCAGAGCTGCAAAGAGAGTTTGGAGTCATGGTGAACCAGATTGCGGGGAAGGTGGGCTTGCAAGTCAGAAATGGCCCACAGTCCTGCCTCAGAAAGCTTAGCGCCAAGTTACATGAATAAGCTTCTCTTGTATGTACTATTCAGAATCTCTTCAGAAATCTTGCATCCTGTGCCTCTACCAATTAAAGCGAAGGAGACAGGCTTCTCAGCAACAATCTCTCCAGAGAGGCTTATATGACACCCCTTGTAATGCTGTTTGTAGTGCCAAGTGAGGGCCTTTTTGTTCACCCAGTCCTCTTATATATTCAGACATCTCACTGTTTACAGTATTTTTTAAATGTGAACTGCTAATTGTTTGATGCTGTCTGCGAGTTTTTAATACTACATTCTTGTTTGTTTTGTAATTACTACATATGTTGAATAAAATTCAGCATTCTGTTAGTGGAAAGGACCCCTACCCCAGAGGCATTCTTTGTACTGTATTACCTTAAAACCTATTCTAGTGGGTTTCTTAACCTTCCAGATCAGATTTTAAGGACATGCAAAGGGGAAGTCCACTTCCTGGTTCTACTTATGGAAGCCATTATGTCAGCAGCAGAACAGAATTGGATTCTTACTAAATCAAAACTCTTTAAACTGTGGTAATTGCTCTGTGGAAATGGTTCATAGTGTGAATTTATTTCACTGACAGTGATCATTAGTTCATTTCTGCCTGACTTGCTTTTAGTTAAAACTCACTAAATAGTCATTATCCTTATTTTGTAGACTATTCTTCCTGCAGCTGCCCAAGATGTATATTACAGAGATGAAATAGGCAACATATCTACCAGTCATCTTCTTGTTTTGGATGACTCTGTAGAAATGGAGATTCGCCCTCGATTCCCACTGTTTGGTGGCTGGAAGACACACTACATCATTGGTTACAACTTACCTAGTTATGAATATCTATTTAATCTTGGTAGGTATCCATGTAACAGTACAGGTTCTAGAACTTATTGTGCATCTAACTATAGTGTGAACCTTCAGAGTGTATGGCTGTATTTCAGTGGAGAATGGCATACTTGGCATTCCTCAGGATCTTAGTTTGTATACAATCAAAAATTAAGTGTTATACTGCTTAAAATTTTTTTTAAAATCTTCAGTTGATTAAATAATTGAAATCAGGAATCAGGGATATAGTGTATCCAGGGATATAGTGTTTTTATTTGTGAGGTTGTAGTGTTCTTGATTTAATGTTTTGCATAGTTTATATTGGTTATGTGTTTTTTTATTATTGGGTAGATGATGTCTTCTGAGTTGTCTTGACTGTTGAAATTGACCTGCACATTGTTTAATAAATCAGTTCAAGGAAACTATGTCTTCTCTGAAAGTCTCTATAAAATCCTGGTTCTTTATTCAACATGGCTTCCATTGTAAAAATGGCAAGGCCTAAAGGTTTGATGATAACCTGCTGTCATTAATTCCCAGGTGATCAGTATGCACTGAAGATGAGATTTGTTGATCATGTATTTGATGAGCAAGTGATAGACTCCCTAACTGTAAAGATAATTCTTCCAGAAGGTGCCAAGTAAGTAATAATACATAATGTGGTCAATCAGATGTGTATGGGGTTGATCTGGCAATCATAAAATGTAATTGTGTTGATCTGAGTATACAACATTTTCCAAGAAGCAACCATTATTAGATATTAACTTTTATAGAATAACACAGTATATAGAATAAGTTCCTAGTGTATGTATCAAGATTTATGTGGAACAGGTATTGATTTGTGTCGAAATGTCTGTAGGAACATCCATGTGGATAGTCCATATGAAATCAGCAGGGCTTCCGATGAGCTTCACTACACCTATTTGGACACCTTTGGCCGCCCAGTCATTGTGGCACACAAGAACAATCTAGTTGAACAACACATCCAGGATATTGTGGTAAATGGAACTCTTTCGCTTATATAGCTTTAGAAGTAGCACTCTCCTCTTAAATGAGCAAATTGCTTTCTGTCTTTGACACCCTAATTAACGTACAGTATGATGTGTTTACAGTAGCAATAGCCCATGATTAACTGGCAAGTCAGTGAAAAAACTGAGTCTCATGGTTGAAGATGCAAGTAACTACTGTTGTATTTAGGAACGTAACGTATCTTTCCCCCATCTCACTACTTGCTGATTTTTTTCTAGGTACACTATACCTTTAACAAGGTCCTGATGTTGCAAGAACCTCTTCTGGTAGTTGGAGCCTTCTATATCCTATTCTTTACAGTGATTCTGTATGTGAGGCTGGACTTCTCTATCACTAAGGTATTACAGTACAGAGGGAGGACGAGTGAATGGGGGCAAGAAAGTTGATTTCACTGTTTTAATGGTTTTATACTGATGGTGTTGGAGTATTTGATTTTCCCCCCTGTATTTATGTGAGGCATTCCTTGTAAGATATGATCAGCTTGGGAGAGCAGGTTGCTACAGTATTTTCATGTAAATGGTATTCTGAGGTTTAATTGTGTTGTGCTAGACAGAAATAATACATTTTAAACAAATTATCTGAATCAATGAATATTTTGTTCTGTTACATAGGACTATTCTAAATCCGCTAAAGATATTTATCTTTAATGTTGTTGTTTTAACAGAAGAATCCTAGCTTTTTTTCAAACTATAACCCAAGCTTGCTCAGTAGATATCTTGATTTATTCTTAATCTTTATTTTATCATGTTGCTTCTGACAACTCTGTTGGTAAAGGTTGTAAAATCTACGTGGAGGAAGAACTTAGCTTTATTTTCCCAGGGTAGGAGAATAATGCTAACCTATCTTACAGAACTGTAGTAAAGACTATCAAAAGAGTACTGTACATGAAGCACTCTGGATGCTTAACTATTCTGTATACATTCTTGCTGTCATTAAGTCTTTACCCCTTGGAACTGTTTGTGCTTTTGTAGGATCCAGCTGCAGAAGCTAGAATGAAAGTTGCTTGTATTACAGAGCAGGTTCTCACCGCAGTGAATAAAAGGCTATGTCTGTACCGTCTTTTTGATGAAGCTGTGAATAAGTACAAGCAGACCCGGGACATTTCTGCTTTGAACAGTGGCAAAAAATCTCTGGAGACTGAACACAAGACCTTAACCAGTGAAATAGCCTCATTGCAATCTAAGCTGAAGACAGAAGGCTCTGATCTGTGTGACAAAGTAAGAGTCTGTTGTTTGGCTTAGTTTTAGCTCTTGTTTGTCTTAAACCCCTCTGCTTTCCAAACTGTAGACTTTTATTTCATACCACTCTGAAAGCATATCTCTGCCCACCAGCAAAGTGTTGCAGAATATTCTAATCTCATATGCAGATCCCAGGGGGGAAAGTCACAAAACTGAACAATGGAGATTCCTGTTTTCCTGATGCTACAGCATAAAAAGCCCAACATTTATCTTTAAGGCATGCATGTCAAAAGGAGAAGCTTCCAAATTCTTATTGTGGCATTATTTTACATGTATTCTCAGGTATAAAATAGGTGAACCAGCAGTGTCAGACACCCTAACCAGTTAGGACACATTGGCTTAGATTCACCACACCATCCTCCCAAGCTCTTTTCTGAATGAGGGGAAACAGTTCTTGCTTAAAATGTTGATTTACATGGGACCTTCTGGCACTAGTTTATCTAGCATGGCCATGGGCATTGTTTTGAAATGTTTCTTAAACAAGCCACTAACAATTGATCACTGGAGCTTTTTAGGCATCCCAGTCTTTTGATTTTTAAGGTGTTCTGAAACTCTGAAATTGATGTGGTCCATCAGTACATGGAAGTTTTGGTTTATTGGATTACAACTCTCAAAATCCCACAGCCTGGCAATAGCATGTTGTTTGGGGAATTTAATCTCAAAAAGTAACCTGTCCAAGTTCTGTTCTGTATGTTCTTCAGTTGGCCTGCACTGTCTGCTATGTTTTGAGGGAGAACCTTCATCTGTGATGAGGCAGTCAATGAACCTTCCTTTCATGATAGTAACTTGGTTATCCTGACTAGTGGTCTCATTTGTGGATAACATAACATGGAACTTGAGAATTCTTGTAAACTCTGGTTGTTAAACACTTAACAGCTCTTAGCTGAGGAAGTCTTTAGTGGAAGGCTTTCTGGATGATTGAGGAACAGCTGATCTATGTGGTTTGCTTTCCATATTGAAGCTGCTACATATTTACAAATTGATCTGCTTTCCTGTAAATCAGACAGATTTCAGAGTACAGTTATCTTATATCTCAAAAACAGAACGTGCCTACTATACAGCGTAATATCCTAGTATAATTGTTGCTCTGAAAGTCACATCAGGCCTGATCCTATTTTTATTGCAATTAGTGTTCATATTCAGAGCAATTGGTGCTGCTATAGAAGCAGTTTCTGACACTACTTCAACCTACTTTGGAGTCATAATCTTCCTTTTGGTTTTGCCATTGTATGTGCTTGGTATGTAACTGCAAATGTGCTACTGCCAGAGAGAGTCATTTAAAAAGATTATTTCATGCTATGGAATAATCTGAAAACTGCAGTGTAAATGTCACTGCATTATGATTAATTTAAGTTATAATTGTTTATAAGGTTGTGACTGCATCCAGAGTTCTAACATCTTGTCCTAAATTTCTTAAAGGTCAGTGAAATTCAAAAACTTGACAGCCAAGTCAAGGAGCTGGTTCTAAAATCTTCTGTGGAGGCAGAACGGCTGGTTGTTGGCAAGCTTAAGAAGGATACATATATAGAGAATGAGAAGATCCATTCCAGCAAGCGTCAGGAATTGATCACCAAAATCGACAACATCTTGGATGCCTTATAAGTTAGAATTAAAATGATGGGAGCATATGTGACTGAGTGGACACACTGAGCCACAATAAACTGGGAAGTGTGGGTGTAGGGGATGTGTCACGGCTATAAAATTTTTGTGAGGTTTTTGTTTTGTTTTCTTTGGAAGCTGTCTTCAAAATTTAGGATTACTTGTAAGGTCTATTGCTTTTTGAGAAACTTACTATTTGGAAAAGGCTTGTTATAACATACCTTGGACTTGTTATAACTACAGTCATTCCACGAAGTTCAAAGAATTAGCCAGTGATTTCAAAATCAGTTGAAAGGTGCCAATTTCCAGAAAAGAGGCATGCATATAGGCCTGCTGTTGTCACTGGATGTCATGATCTGAGAGAATAAATATAAGTGGTTATGTACAAATGTCAATGGCAACTCTTTTATCCTCCACCTTTGAATTTATACTTACAAATTTTGGAGATAGGGATGTGGACAAGTAACATGAACAAAGGTTTTGTGTTTTGTTTTTTTTTACTATTTGTCTCAGATTGATATTCTTCTTCACTTGAACTTTTTGAGCCTCATGAAATTACAGCAGCAGGTAGAGTCCAGTGAAAGTGGAGGGGGTAGTTGAGATTCACTTGCTTATAGCCTGTACTTTTTCTCAGATGGATTCTCAGAAAAATGTTGAAAACATCAAAGTGAAATAAAGACTTCTGGATGTTCTTTTCCTAGTTTTTTATTTGTTTGAATTCACTAACATTTTGGATGCATAAACAGTAAATTTACAAGCAGTAAATGAGGTGTGTTATGTGTCATTCTGTCTCATGTTACCACATAAAAGAATTATTAATCTCTGAGCTGTTAAGTTTTTAAAATAATAATTCCAACTTAATAAAATACTGATAGAGTTTTATAATTAAATCTTCCCAAGGATGCATAGATAGCATTTAGGTGACATACAGGTTCCTCTTGGCCCCTTAATAAATCCCTACTTTGTACTGGGAGGCAAATTGATTAGCCACCTAATGCAAAAATAGCAGGTAACTGTAGTGGCTTTTTGATCCTTGGGCATTATTCAGGATAAGCTGTTTCTGGTAAATTTTAGTACAGTTATGCCCTGGTTCCTTTGCCTTCCATTCGAACTGAAGAGATGTGACTTTCAGTGGTCTGTCTATGAGTTTTTGTCCTGGTATCCTTCATGGAATCTTGAAATGTTTGAACTTCCTTAAAAATACAGTCTATAACTGTTGGGGCCAATATGTTAAAATATATATATATTAACATTTCGCATGTAACTCTACATGATCTGGTTATAATTATCTGACAGAAGCAGGGAACCTTCTTTCCATTTTTAATGCATTTACATCTTCTAGGTGTCCCGAGATAACTTACATAATAATAATTGTACTAATAATCATGGACTGTCAAATAAATTATGATACAAAGTGAATCTCTTCAGGGTTTTCCAGGCAGAGAGTACTCAAAAGTGGTTTACCATTCCCTTTTTCTGGGGCACTCTGGAACTGTGCAACTTGCCCAAGGCCACACAGACTGCCTCTACTTGCAGGAGGCACAGTGAGGAATCAGACTCTCAACCTCTGAGCCATCCCAACCCACTGAGCCATCCAGCCAGCTCACTGAGAGAACTTCACCTTTACAATGGATGCTATGAGTAAAGGAAAGCTAGCTCTTTACTGAGAGCCTCTTGTAAAGAGCTAACTTCTTTAGAGTCCACTGTCAGATGGTAACTTACAATTTGGTTTGAAGCCCAATTTGTACACCAGAAGGCCCCAACTTTGTGTTTGTACAGAAAAATGGGCTGAAATTCAATTGCTTAGTGTAGTGAGTTGCACTAGAGTAGGTTCATTGAATCAGTGGAGCGTGCCAACTCTTTATGTTCCATTGGTTCAAGTGGGCCTCTTCTAGTTGCTACTTTAGCAGAATAAGCTGGAGTAGGCCAATTTGAATCAATGGAACCTATGGAGAGGTTGATCCACTAAATCCCACCGGTTCAGTGAACCTACTCTAATGTGATCTACTATGCTAAGTAACAAAATTTCAGCCATAATATTCTGTTACCTTCATGAAGAATCAATTTTACATTTTAGATTATAAAATATGTACAGTAAATATTCTTTCAATCTCAGCTTGTAGACACAGCTTCCCAGTGTACAAGAATGGATTGCAAATGCTCTGAACTGTTTAATGTTTCAGTTTAATTATTTTAATGTGTTCTCTACCTTAAGTCCTTGTTTATAGAGAAGCTAATCTTATCAGTGTGTAGCCTCTGGGTAAATTTAAATATCCGTCAGTTTGATTTATATCAAGATATTATCTAAATTTCTTATACAGTGTATCTAAAATTTCAGATTGTACACGAGTTTTACAAGAGTATTTCTGAGATGAGAAATGTGAAAATAAAGCAGAGAAATCATTGTGTAATATTTTAGGAAAGAGCAATGCGCTTACTGGTTATCATGCTGCAAAATAGATGAGGCACCTCTTATGAGCATCACTGTCCACTGAAAATCAGTCAGTTCTAGATGTGATGCAATAAAGAAAAGAAAGCATCCCTGCATTTCCTCTTTGCTTTAATTGTTCTTGATATCTTTGTTCTAGTAGGGACTCCATGTTACCACTGCTTCAAGTTCAGTGATTTTCTGACTGAATTGACCCTGGCTGTGGATTGGCAGTGCTAAATGGATAAGCTTGTATTGTCTTCAAAAGTAGAGAACATGGAAGACATTAATGCCTATTTTCCCTTCAAGGCAGACCTACAGTACCACTTCCTATTCACTTCTTTTTTTCCCATTCTCCCTTCTGCCTTGTTCAAATACCGTTGGTGTTTATCAGCAGTGATTATATAGCCATCTCTGAGAGAGTAGTCCCACACTAAGGAATAGTCATGTATAAACTCCAGTATTCAAGACTTTAAAAGTAGCCAAGAGAAGAAAGGCAAACATTCCATTGTAGTTGATGCATTTGAAATACCAAATCTCAGTTTGGTTTTCAGCTTCAGTCAAATAAAAAAGTGAACTGCGATTTGGGGGCAGGAGTGAGAATCAGTGTAGCTTTGGATTCCAGACAGCTGATACCTCTACTGGATGTTCTCCCAAACCTGGGATTAAAGCTTATTTGAATGTCCATCTCAGGATGGACACTTCCTGCTACCAGTCTCCCTCCACTCATCATGCTTCCTAGCTGCAGGCTTTTCTTAAAAGCTGGCAGGTCTGGTTTTCATTTCTACTTTCTTGAAGGAGTACTTCTGATTGGTCCTTTTGTCAATCAAAATGTACCATGTTCCCCAGTAGATACCACTAGTCACTCCGCTGTAGCGTCCCTGGTGGTATTTCCCATTAAGGTTAGCTGCCAGGCAAGAGTCAAACCACCAGCCAGCCCCGTAGTATGCACCACAGTTGCCCATGGCATAGTTATCATTGTCACTGTCCCAGGTTGTGAAGCATTTATGGTCATGGTTATAATTGCGGCTGTAGCTCAAAGCATTGCCCGCATTGCCCTGATATTCCCGTACCGTCAGGCGATACTTGTTGGCCTCGCTGGCCACTTTAAATTTATGATATACAGCGTGCCTCTTGACACCATGCCAGTCTTCTAGCTCTACACGCAGCATGTGCTGACCTAGGCGGGTTAAGCTATGAATGTGCTCATTACCCAGCCAATGTTCCCCCTGGAGGCTACCAAATCCCTGTTTATATTCCTGCCATGTACGGTTGAAATCCACAGTACCGTCCTGTCGGCGCTGTATAATTGTCCATCCACCACCATCTGTCACCATGTCACAGTATGCCTGTTGAGAAACAAAATAAGGGTCAGCAAAGGAGAGTGGGAGCCTCTAAAGCAGTGATGGAGAACCTGTGGCCCTCCAGAAGCAGCTGAACTGCATCTCCAGTTATCTCCACTATTGGTCAGGCTGGGGTAGGGTTGCTGTGACTTGGAGTCCGACATCTGGAGAGGTCTATGTTCTCTACTGCTCTACCACCCTCAGAAGAATCGTTTCTCTGGTTATTCCAGATGTCCTGCAATGATGACATTATCATCATCATCATCTTAGAATTGCAGAGCTCGAAGGGACCCTATGGATCATTAAGTCCAGCCCCTATCAAAAGGCACTGTGGGGAATCAAACTGGCAACCTCCAGAGACCTAAACTACTGAGCTATCCAGCAGCTCATAATCTTTTAGAACTGCAGAGCTGGAAGGGCTCCCATGGATCAGCAAGTGTAGCCCCTGTCAAGGAGGCACAGTTGCAGAATCAAACTCCCAACCTCTGTCTCTACAGTCAGATACCTAAATTGAAGTACAGTAAAGTAACTGTCTCCTACCAGTACTCTTTTTGAAAAAAAAAAAAATTCTGGACACAACCTTTGTGCTACACTGGGGTTAAAAGTAATGCCCTCTCCTGAGGTACTCTGGGATCTGTGTTCTTCTTAGGGATGTTATAAACTATTGCTACATAATTTTCACTGCTCTCTCCAAATCAGTTTCTGCAAAACATATTTAGATGTTTTTAATTTTGTGGAGCTGCATTCTTAGGATCAAGGGAGAAATAGAATATGAACACATCTTACTATTATTAATCACTTAAATAATGGCTGAAATTCTATTGCACAGCTCCACAGTGCAAGAGGAATGGTGTAAACAGCAGCGGCAAACCGGCTGATTCAAGCCTTCCTTTGGCGATTTTTGGAGTGCATGCAGCTTTATCACTTTGTGTAGTGGTCTCAAGGAAAGCCTTTATTCAGCAGTGATTTGCCACTGACAATCCCATTTCCATTGTGCAAATGGAGCTCTACAATAGGATTTCAACCATCAAATATGTAAACACCATGTTTAGTGCTGTTCAAAAGTCTTCAGAGATTGCATTTCTTATGCTGAAGAACAAACCTAGCAAGATTTTTTATAAAAATCCTCAGTAGCAGTAATGCTATTTCCACACAGCAGAGCTGTCTCTGCCACAGATCTGTCTCTTTATTTGCCTTGTACAGACATGCTGTGATTGTATTGCTATGGAAAAAGGAGTTTGCAGAAAAATGCACAGAAACTACCATGAAACTGAGCATGCTTGGATCCTGGTGGCAATTTTAGAGCATTGTATTTTTAAGTGTATTTTCATTTTTTTATCTTTTTATTGTACAGTAGTCATATTGTTGTAAGCTGCCCAGAGATCTTTGGGTAGTGTCGGTGGTATATAAGTTAAATAAATAAACTAAATAAACTCAATAATAAGGGGAAAGGCCATAAATTCTCATTTAACATTTTCTAAATGCGTTGGATCTTCCCATAATATACACTTCTCTCTTGAATTGCACAGTTTGAGCAGCATCATTTTAGTTTTACTGTATACGGATTTTTAAAAAATAAATAAATAAATATTCAGTAATTAAATGTTCAATAAATACTGTGCCCCTAGCTACATAGAACCCGATGAATTCAACACTGAAAGTATCAAAATGGTCTATTTCCTCCAAACACAACATCTCTAATTCAGCCTCTAGATCAGGGGGTCATAAGGATCTTTAAGCTTTGTTACACACCATATTATACAGAAATGATTGTCAATGCTATGGGAGAGAATCCCAGTAGAGAGAATTGCATTTTACCTCACTTTGCCATTCAATACATGTTTACAGATCACAGTATAGACCAAACTGTATTATGGGTTTCAAAGGATTTTTTACTCCATATTACTTAGGACAAAATATACTTCCGGCTGCATTTTCTTCTCAAGTCTAGTGATAGGAATATATATATATATTAGCCATTTTTAAAAAAAGGAAAAAACAACAACTTACAAGCTGTTCAGAGTGTGAGTCAGGAGAAACATTTTTCTCGTCTCCCTTTTAGCAAGCAGTTGGTCAGTGAGATTTAAAAACAAATACTGGGGGGGAGGCTGGAGAGATCACATTTATACTGCCCTAATATTTTACATGTGCTTTGTTACATTGGGGCCATGATTGTGATTGTGTGGCAGATGTTCAAAGGTCTGAGAGGCTAAAAGAGGCCAAGATCCTGTTGTGCAACTCTCCCCACACTACAGGAAAGATGTCATTGTCTTTATTTATAGATTTGTTTGGGTTGTTGTTTATTTGTTTGTTTGGGCTGGTGTTTTTTTACAATTTTGGGGTCCATACAGCTTTTGCATGCAATGAGGCATTCTGAAATTTTAAATGGACATCTTTAATCGGAGGCACACTATTTTTAATAAATGTACTATGCTTGTTATTTTGATGACTTCTACTTCTGAAAAAGCATTAATAATTTTACTCTGTACTTTAAAAAAATCCTTCAGCCTGCTTAGCCCAATGACAACTCAAAGCTGTGATAACATGGTTATTTAGAAAGATGAGGTGGGAGAAGTAGACCTTTGACAAATTAGAACAGGAAATGAATTTTGGGTGGAAGTTGTGTTTAGAAAACTGTCAGGATGAACTCAAGGAAGAATTACAATCTATACAATTTCAAGATGCTATGAGCAAAATGAAATGAACAATTGAAGAAGGAGAATTCTGACACATGCAAAAAGGCATTTTTGTTCTTTGATCTTGAGCTGGGGCAAAAGGAATGAGAAAGAGAACAACAAAATTAAGGCTGCCAACCCAGCCAAGCCATATAAACTTACTGGAAAACAAGTAGCATGAAAAATACTGTGGGGCCTCTAAATAAACATGCATAGCATTGTCCCATATAATTCTACTAACTATGCATGATATAGAGGATAATTAATTGCGACTTTTCTATCAGTACAAATCCTGTACATGCGTCACCAAGTGTGATTTAAACATGGTCATAACTGTATATATTAAGCAGCTGGAATATGTGTTCCCTTTGTGCAATCTTCGCCCAAATGAAGATCCACTGGTGTGATTTTTGTAACTCCAAATGAATGAAAATCTCCATCTTTGAATGGATTAAAATACCGCTTAGAGTGCACTGGTTCAGTTACACCCAAATGTCCTCAGCTGTCAGAGTTAAATATGTCTTTACCTCATCTGAGGAAAACTGTAACTTTTGGGACTACTACCCTGCCTGCAACTACAGTGACCACCCCAAGTCTGTAAGGGGTACTTTGCCCCATTTCATGAGGAGACGACACCCTCTAATTTTGCTGTTCACAGTATTCCTCTGGCTTCAAGCTATATGACGCCAGAGCAAACCTATGCAGCAATTAGATAATGTTTCTACCTAGTGAATGAGGTTGGTGCCACAAGCTTTGGATACATTTATATTAATATATTTTAACCCCGCCCCAGGTGCACACTCTGGACCACTCTTTATTAAGTACACAATGTTTCTATTGTCTAAGTTTCATGGACTTGGAATGATAGGTCTAGCACACAGACATTATCTTTCATTGGCAGAGCTTACAAAAGTTTTATGTTTCTGCACTACAAAAGCTAGAATCGCCAAGCAAGCATGGCTGCCACATGCTGGCTGACAGATTCTGTAATCTGTAATCCAAAATGTTTCCAAGCTCTGATTATAGATAAATGTACACGTGTCTCCCAATCTACCTTCCTTACCTCAAAAGGTTGCCGGAGAGGAATGGGCTGGATAGTATAAATCCCATTGTCTCGGATGCCCTGTTTGTGGATCTCAGCACAATCTCGAGGATATCTGTGTTCAGATTTTTCAGGGTGGTCTACTGAAAGTAAACAGTGACAACTGCTGTAATACAGGACGGCAGTCTAGCAGTGGAACCATGAGATTCTGGATATATCACCTAGTTTGCTAGAAACTTGATATGATACTGAAATGTAGTGAAGAGGAACTCTTAACTTTATTACACTTATACATAATGGGTTAAAGAACTCGCCTACTGACAGGCAGGTAGGTGTAAAACATACTTATCCTAAAAGGACAGAGAAGCCTCCTCATGACAGGAAGGTAAGTGGAAAATTCACTCTATGCACTTGCACAATGCATATGGTTAGATGGCGTTCTCTTCTACTCCTAGAAAGGGCACTGCCTAAAGTGGCTATCACAGACTTTCCCACCAGCACCCTCCAGATGTTATGGGCTACAACTTCAATCATCTATGAGTAGGACAACTACAGCTCACCACAGTGGGATACCACTGATTTTGAGAAGTGTGGATATGATAATCAAGGAGGTCAGCAAGAACTGAGCATGCAATATTTGGAATCTTTTCAGGTGCTAAAGGAATAATAGGGCATCACATTTCAGGTTGATATGATAGAGCATTTGCTATGACTATTATTTCCTCATAAGCTCCACATGCCTTGCAGACTACATGAGAAACATTGTAAATTTATACTAACCCAAAGGCGCTGGTGTCTCCTCGCTCCTGTGCTCTTTCCCTAAACCTGAGAAAACATTTGGAGTCAGTAAGGTAGAACACTTCTTACAACAAGTCACAATTTTTATTTTCATCAGTATTCCGGTTTTGAATTCTTACACAGCTTTCCTAAATGTTTGGAACATATTACTCCAGACCTTTATGTTGTAGAATCTCACTAGAACACTTTGGCACCTTCACAGTTATGGACCAAGGAACATTTGTGCAATTCAGTGGTGAGTTCTCCTCTCCCCACCATTGCTTTAACGGAAGTCCTAATGGGAAAATAGTCAACAAATGGAGTGATCCTCTGCAGAAAAATAGAGAGTTGCACCTTTTAATTTAGATTTGCCCCAGTCAAGTAGGGACTCTGTGTTTGTAGGTCCAGCTTGAAAAGGAAGAAAGCAGAGCTTGGAAAAATCAACATTAGCTATGTTGGCTGGGAAATTCTGGGATTGTGATCCACAAAGTGAGCTGTGGAGAGCACACCTGGAGGGAGAGGAATAACCAGGTCCCTCTTTTCCAGTTCTCTTCACAGACCCTTCTCTCTCAGCTGAGTTCACTATTGGTTTCAGAGCACAACGGAGAAAAATATATCAAAGTACAGCAAATTAGAAGCAAAAAAGTTTTCAATGTTTGCCTACCCCCATCCCCTGACTGATCAATTTTAGGCTCTGTTAAGGTCCTCCTCTCATGTCCCTCCCTTTACCATACTCCTTGCGATACCCAAAGTCTGTACAAAATACACATGTGTGGAAGTACATGCAGAGTGCACATGGATGCTTGCAGTTCTTTTAAACAAGATGGGTATTTATGTATTGCCTAAAAAGGAGGGGCAAAATAGGACAGACATTTGTATACAGCATACATATGGTGTCTGTGTGTGTGTGTTTGTGTGTGTGTATATGTATATATATGTATAAGCGCAAACTTGGAAATCATTAGTAACATTATCATAGAAATAAAATACTTTTCACCAGATGATAACCTATGTGGTCACAATTGACTAGATAGGCGGGGTATAAATAAATAAATAAATAAATAAATAAATAAATAAATAAATAAATAAATAAATAAATAAATAAATAAAAACGTGCCTGCTCAGTTTGCTGTGGATGTACTAACTGTTAAAAGACAAAGCCTTCTTTGATTGCTCCTAGGTCTTTAAAGTGTACTTGGACAAGACAAACCTTATAAAAGAATCATAGAATAAGTTCCCTTCACACAGAGTTCTGTACTCTGGAGGTGCTTCAAACAGAAAGTTCCTCTATATTAAGTATGATCCATGGCTGCTCTACGTTTTAAACCTGGGATGCTGAACACTGGACCTTCCAGCTGTGTTGGCCCGTTTATTTTATTTATTATTATTGTACTTTTATTTACTGTTGGGGATGTGAAAGGTGTTTGTGAGGTCTTCTGACTCATGTGCCAAAATATGTGGCTGCATAGAATAATATAGAGCCTGACTTGCTGTTGCCAGGGGTGGATGGGATACCATTTGCAGCTCTGCCCCCAGAAGAAAACGGTCCTGGGCCAAACTGGCATTGTTGTTCTTCTTTCCATCACTGCATTTTTGTCCCTCTTTTATCATGGCACGATCAGAAAGGAGGAAGTTGGGCAGGACAAGGCAGTCTCTTAAAGGCTGAATCTAAGAAAACAGCGAACAGTGCAAGGACTGTTTTCAGCAAAGAGAATTGTTCCCTTTACATCACCAGGCAGCTTGATATGACTGCTCTTCAATACAGCATCAAGTTATCTGGAATTCCTGCCAGGTTGTCAGACATCAAAAAGGAATAGCAGGGAACACATCAAGCAGAAGGAGAAAAAAAAAAGAAAATTAAGGAAATTAAGGGAAGGTGAGGAAAAGACAGAGGTTGAGGCTGCAATCAACCTGCAAAATGTTTCCAAATTACTCCTTGTGAACTTTGACTCTTTTTTTATACAGCATCAAGTTATCTGGAATTCCTGCCAGGTTGTCAGACATCAAAAAGGAATAGCAGGGAACACATCAAGCAGAAGGAGAAAAAAAAAAGAAAATTAAGGAAATTAAGGGAAGGTGAGGAAAAGACAGAGGTTGAGGCTGCAATCAACCTGCAAAATGTTTCCAAGTTACTCCTTGTGAACTTTGACTCTTTTTTGGGGGAGGGTTCAGATTATGTACAGCCCTATTGATTCTTTTGTTCTCACTACATGCTATCTCCATATCAAATCCAGCCAACCGGGGAAGCTACTGATATTTTTGTTCAGTGTTTCATGGCGCAGTACTACCTGCATCCCATGGAGTGTAAATCAATTTCTTTCCTATACATCTGGTGTGTGCATCCGTGTCTCCCAACAGCTGTCATTCGACTTTTTTCTTTTTTCTTTTAACAATTTTCAAAGTGGAATATCAGGGAGTTGGTATGCTTCTGTCAAGCTGGGCTTGACTTGAGGACTGTAAAGGGTATTATTGTTTATGTCTTTTTAGCCACCCATAGTAGCCTAGCTGCTAGTTGGCCTAGAGAGAGAGAGGGAGGGCAGGGCAATGAATGATTGGGAAGGATAGGCACACAGGTAAGATTATGTACCCTTACATCTGTTGAGACTAGAGAATGCTTCAGCTGTATGTCAACAAGCATCATGTAAGCCTGCATGATGCAGCAATTAAGACTGTTAGACTGGGATTTGGGCTGACTTTTAGTCTTCACTGAGCCATGAAACTCACAGGGCGACCTTAGTCCAATCATCGTCTCTCAGCCTGGCCTGTGCTGTAGGATAGTTGTTGTGAGGACACTTTCCTGTCTTCTACTACAAGACCAAACCGGGAGTAGCACTGGCATCACTCCAATGGTCACAATCTCTCTCCTCTACATAGTGCAGTTAAGGAATATCAATGGATTAAAAATAATAAATCACAACAGGGAATACAGATGACCTTCTGCAAACCCAACTCTTAATTGCTTACAATCTTAACAAACACTCCTAACAAAGGTGCCTGCTTATTTATTTCATGTATGCCCTGCTTTTCCCCCCCTTCCTATCATGGAACTGAAGAATTTATAAGATTATCCTTAAGTCTCCCCCTCAAAGTATTCACTTCTTCCAGACTTACTAAGCTTCGTTAAAGGTGCTGCCATCATGTACTTAGTGTCCCGATTGTACTCTAGCACCTGTTCCATACATTCAAGAGGTGAATCTAGCTGTTCATGACTGAATTGGTAGAGAACAGGCAATAGAGAGCCCCACTGTACTCACCAAAAATGGATGTTTTCAGGACTGATTCACTGCAAGGCAGCTGGCAGCCAGACAAGATCCCTAACAAGAGGGCCACTAAGGAGTTAAATTGGTCTTCCAGGCGATTCAGATTAAGTCTGCTCTCCTCCTGCAATTTCAGCAAGCTTGATGCCATGCTTGCCACTCTGGTCTCCACCAAGGTGAGTCGGTCCACTAGTGTCCTAGTTCTGGATGAGGTTTGTTTATTGAGATCTCCAGCATGCTTAAGAATTTGTTTGAACTCCATTTGTTGCTCCTCAGAAGGAGCATCTTGAACTTCCTCCAGTATAGTTGGCCCTTCAGGCATGAGGACACGGAGTTTGCAGCTTCCTAATCCATCACATCCACCTTCTGGTGATGGGCGAAGCATGGCCACAAGAGAGCCCAGACATGTAGGGTCATCCTCCCTTAGGCATTCAGGGCCACTGGAATTCAGGCCTTGGGGCTCTTGCAGCAAAACCATAATGAGGAAGCTTAAGCAAAAACATTTGGTGATGGGAGGGGAAAAAATCATTTCTTCTGTCTGCTGCCACCACAAAAAACACACAACTCTGCAAGAAAGGGAGACCTTCTGTGCACACGCTGCAACAGGTTTTCTTCCGTCTCTCTCCGCAAATTTGCTTCTACGGGCTGTGAATTTCACTCACAGGCCGAGCCAGAGTAAACTGCTCATATAAGTGGTGGAGATTGAGGAGCTGAGGGAAAAAGGAGGAGGGGAAAAGAGAGAGAAGTAGATAAAGGAGTGTTTGAGACTGTCCAGCAGATTGGCATGTCATAGGCAATTAAAGCCAGGCCTTTGTGGGAGCCAGTCAGCGATTAGGGTCCTGCTTGTACAAGCTCTGCTCTGAGAGGGCTTGACTTGAAAGGCTTAATTTGCCTCAACATTAAAGGCACAAGGAAATTGCGTGAATAGAAGCATGAAAGCCGAGTGAAAGGAACTGCAGTCTCTTCCAGCAATTGCTGGCCTTTAACATAGTGTAGGCCATCCTCTCAAGACACTGCACAAAGCATATGGTCAGAGGCCTCCTCACATACCAAGGCCAAAGGCCTCAGAAGAGGCCGGCACACAAGACTTGCACAGCACTTTCAGTGACTGGCTGACACGATTCCTTCACAAATCCCGTAATTTCTACAGCTGCACTGGCCAACAATCTCTCCTTTGGGACAATGACCTTCCCCTCCCCTGGTGTTTACCATATTCTGTCAGGCTATACTGCTGTTGTGCAACTTATGCTTCAAACCGACACGTCAAACTGAGTCGGCTGTTTGGAGAGTTGCCACCGCCCTTGGATTTGGCCACACACATGAGCTAAACTTTTCTTGTCTTTTGTTGCACCAGAAAATAATGTGGCTTACAAGAACAGCAAGGTATGCAATTTGTGGCACACCATGGCATTTCCTTAATTTTTATCTATACATATATATTGCTTTTCTAATCGACCGGTCAAGATATTTTGCAATTTGAAATATTTTTGGAGATATAATAAAAAAGGAAAGGAAAAAAGGAGGAAAGGGTAAAGTTAAAAAAAAGAAGAGAAGGAAAAAGTAAAAGAGAAATTTAGTATCATTTTGTGACATAAAATATGGGGGTTGGCTATGAGAAAGCCACATTTTTAAATTACCCATAAGCACATAGCATTATAACTGCATGATAGCAAAGAGCAGCCTGAATGTTACAGCAATGGCAGCAGTCAAGATGGTCTACAGCATACCTTCTTGTGCTCACTACCATTCACACTTACTTTAAAACAGCCCTGACAATGAATTTTTCAAAGTCCTGTGGAATGCTTAGGCCACAAAGAGTTTTGTTTCTTAACTCTTCTTTTTAGTACCTTGTTTTGTAGATGTCATGGCAGTTACAGGTTGCTGTTGGTTATCTTTGCTTATGGAATAAAAGCTCGTTCAGGATGAATAAGGATCTAGACCAGAGGTAG